TGCATGTTTCCCCATTCTCGTGAGTATATTGGTGTTTCCCAGTGTTGGGTTGCGGCTGGAAGGGCATCCATTGCGTAAAAACATATGCTGGATAAGTTGGCGGTTCATTCTGCTGTGGCAGCCCTTAATTAATCAAGGGACTAAGCCGAAAATAAAAAATGAATGAGAGAATGGCATTATAAAGAACAATATGTGTAATAATGGAACCATGAAAAAACGTCTTAACAATGGTCAACAGAATAGCTGGATTTGTGTTGTAAAGTGATTGTCTATTAGTAGTTGTTTATTTTTAGTTGTTAATATCACAGATTAACTCTAATTTTAAATCTCTCTCATTTCTCATTGCCTAAAGGGTAACATCGGTAGCACATCTTACCCCACACCCCTGTGTAAGACCCTAATGCTTAACTAAACGTAACACAGTGCTCTCTGTGTTTATTCTACTCCTGCCTGAAACCTTCAAAAAACAGAGCCGGTAAAGTTTATTCCCCCTTTCAGTCAAATGTCTAAACCCCTGCATTCCAGCAGCCCTTATCAGACTATCGTAAATAGAAGAGCAGATCGTGCAAAGTCCATGGATTAGGGGGTCATGGCTTTCCCCACAACAAGAGAAAAATGCTTTGTGGTAGTTAAAAACAACAGCCAGAAATCTTTAGAATGTCTACATCTCTAAGACAGTTAGGTGCAATGACTTCAGGAGGAACGACTGTCAGTTTGACATAATGTGTGAACAGTAAAGGTTATAATGGTTTCTAAAATATTGAGACATGTGTATACAAAGCAGAGTGCTGTAACTGACATTTCCGGAACGTGTTTCAGAAAACCACACATCGGTTTTTGGAGAATGTAAGCCGTTAATGGAGAAAGCACCTTGCTGAGTGTGAGAAGCTTAGGGGAAGTAAATCCTGTCAGACAATAATCCAACCTGTTTGTGTTTGACAAAGAAGAGCAGATTCACCTTAAATCATTGCTTTTAAGAACCCAATACTATTTTACTTTACCGTAAAATGACGGATGTTAAATTACAGAAATTTACCAGAAATTTAAATTGAAGGAAATTTATGTAATTTCATATCTGTTATTTTAGGGTACATTTCTGTAATTTAACGGCCATTATTTTACTTTTTTTTCTGGCACCCGCAGGTGCTGGAAATAAACTGTAAAGTTACAGATTTCTTTTACATTGCACTGGCAGCTAATTACCATGTTTTTGCAGTGTAGTATACACCACCAACCCAGACAATACATCACTTCAAACTATTAAAAATGTTCATAAATGTTACTTTTTTTTAACTTTTCAAGATTAAAAAGTGTTGAATGAAAGATCAAGATCCCATAACGCAACTCAAAAGCCTAAATAAGTGAAGAAAAAACATGAATCACAAAATATCTAAAACTGTCAATTTACATACAGTTGAAGTCAGAATTATTCGCCCCCCTTTGAATTAGGTTTTCTTTTTAAAATATTTCCCAAATGATGTTGAACAGAGCAAGGAAATTTCCACAGTATGTCTGATTTTTCTGGAGAAAGTCTTATTTGTTTTATTTTGGCTAGGATATAAGCAGTTTTTTAAACACCAAGGACAACATTATTCGTTGCAACACAGGCACATTCTGAAAATGTAGTCCTATGGATGTTTCTGCAGATCGTAAATTATGTAGCCGGACGTACGTATGGCTACATTTTATTTTTTAAACGAATGCTACAGGGCGTAGTCCTCCGTGTGGAGGACTTTCCTGCCGCAAGCAGTTTGTCCTGTTAGCTCGTTGTACGTCGGCGGACTTGAGATGAAGAGAGGAGTTGACCACAATGACGACGATGGGGTTCAAGTCCAAGGAAGGGCGTTTCCAGAAATCAAGTAAGACAAAAACAGAATCCAAAAAAAATTTATTTGAATAATATTGTGAGAATGTGGTAAAATCCGAAATCGTGGTAAACGTGGTACTTTTCTTTTTCTAGACAGCTTTTGTAAATCAGTGGTTGGGTTTAGGGAAGTAAGTGGGTGGGCGGGTCAATTGATAAAATTGGTTGGGTTTAGAGAAGAAGGAGGTTGGGTCAATCGATTGGTCAGCCGGTGAGTCAGTCATTCATTCTGTCATTCAGTCAGTCAGATAGAGAGTCACTCGACAGCAGTCTCTGGTGGGTTCACACAAGAACAGCAGGTGCGAACAGCACTCGTGAGAGAAATTTGAGATATGACAAAGCGCAAACAGCGGCCTCTCGTGAATTCGCGAAAACAAAAACTGCAAAAATACGTACCTTCCGGGACTTATTTCGCGGTCTCCAGAAACGTCCACAGGACTACATTTCCAGAATGAGCCTGGGTTGAAATTATTAGCCCCTTTAAGCTAATTTTTTTTTCAATAATCTGCAGTACAAACCATCATTATACAATAACTTGCCTAATTACCCTAACCTGCCTAGTTGACCTAATTAACCTAGTTAAGCCTTTAAATGTCACTTGAAGCTGTATTGAAGTGTCTTGAAAAATATCTAGTCAAATATTATTTACTGTCATCATGGCAAAGATAAAATAAATCAGTTATTAGAGATGAGTTATTAAAATTATTATATTTAGAAATGTGCTGAAAAAAAATCTTCTTTTCATTAAAAAGAAATTGGAGAAAAAAATAAACAGGGGGGCTAATAATTTTGACTTCAACTATATATATATATATATATATATATATATATATATATATATATATATATATATATATATATATATATATATATACTGTAACAGTATTTTACAGTGTAGATAATATAATTCACCACATTATTTATTTAAAAAATCTATCTGCTTACGGAAGAAACTCAGTAATGCGTTAAACTTTACTAGTTAATTGACAAAAGTTATCTGTTACTTATCACACGTTATTTGAAATGGGTTTTGTAACGCTGTAAACAATGAGTGTTACAAAATAAGGAGTTAAAATGTTTCAGGAAAAACAAAAACGAATGCACACCTACATGTTTGTTGAAAAAACAGACAGGTAGCAATATAATATTTGAATTGGTACATTGTGAAATGGCAGTCTGGCTGTTTACAGTAAACATTTTTAATTACAGTTGATTTGAAGATAACCGTTCATATCAATGCCAATGAAGGTCAGCAGGTCACATCTTTAATTACAGTGGACTCAACCATCCCTTCCTCCCTTCTCATCCATCCACAAACCCGCAGCACCTCTGGAAGAAACAATAAACCCTCATCTGGAGCCCTGACAACATTCCAGCTTATTAAAGTCATAGTAAACTACACATCACGCATTTCTCTATAGAGACATCAGGCTGTGAAGGTATGACAAACTGGTGCGCTGTAATAAACGTGCTTAAGTATTTAGGTATTTGTTCTATTTACTTCACTTCAAAAATTATTTTCTTATTCAGTGTTTGTGTCTTGTTTCTGGAATAATTATGTAAAGTCTTAAATCATGAAGCATATTCTAGACAAGCTGTTTACAGAAGTGATATGCTAAAATTAAATGTGTTTTTTTTAAAACACGCAAATTAATCTCACAATGGACTACGCTAAATAATCTTGTTTTCGCAATTAAAATTACAATCTTTTTCTTAACCCATTTTCAGATTATTTAGCTTGTTTTAAAGAAAAACACTTCAAGACAACTAGAAAATGCAGGTTGGTTTTAGAATATTTGGATATTTGGACTAAAAACAAGACAAGACCTCTAAAAAAAGCGTTTTATAGTGTTCTTAACTTGTTTATTTGCCAATTTATTAAAAAAAAAAACACAATGTTATTAGAATGTTATTACATAAACAGATAGATTGATAAATAGATATGTTCAACAGTATTAAAATATTTACATATAGTTAAAGTCAGAATTATTAACCCCCTTTGAATTTATTTTTTTTCTATTTCATAAATGATGTTTAACAGAGAAAGGGAATTTTCACAGTATGTCTGATAATATTTATTTCTTCTGGAGAAAGTCTTATTTATTTTATTTGGGCTAGAATAAAAGCAGTTTTTAATTTTTTAAACACCATTTTAGGGACAAAATTATTAGCCCCTTTAAGCTATATATTTTTCGATAGTCTTCAGAACAAACCATCGTTATACAATAACTTGCCTAATCACCCTAACCTGCCAATTAAACCTAATTACCCTAGTTAAGCCTTTAAATGTCACTTTAAGCTGTATTATAAAATATTGTAAAATATTACGTACTGTCATCATGACAAAGATAAAATAAATCAGTTATTAGAAATTAGTTATTAAAACTATTTTGTTTAGAAATGTGTTGAGAAAATTGTCTCTATGATAAACAGACATTGGGGAAAAGTATTAAACAGGGGGGTGAATAATTCAGGAGGCTAATAATTCTGACTTCAACTGTATTTTCAAACATATTAATTAATAAACATGTTTAATATAGGCAGTACTTATGCCTATAAAATAAGCTGAAAAACTAAACAAGACTATGATATTATTAAAAAATAAAGACATTGATCAATTTGATTAATTGGGAAAATAAATAAACATAAATATGTAATAAAAATAACAATAATAATAATAATGTGATTATTAGTTAAAATACCTAAGTCATAAAGTTTCGTTCTTGTGTATATTTAAAATACAACCACAAAAAATAGTGATCATCAATTATTGAATATTATTGCAGTTTATTTTTAGAAAATAAAAGTTTGATTTGACCATATTTATTAATAATTTCTGACTTTTTAACTGTATATTCACCACACAAATGGATATTGTCTTCCCATACTATAACAAAGGATTATAGGTTCCTGAAGAACACAATATTGAAAAATATGCTGTAATCCCATATGTAGCACATAAAATATTAACATTATTCGCTCATTTGTTAAAGGAACAACCTATGTTGCATCATCACCCACAAAACTGACATCAACACTTGCTCAAGAACAATTGTGCCTATGATGGGCACACCTGAGATCCCAGCTGTAAACCTCAAAGCATTCAATGTGAAAGTCTGAAACACAAAGTCCTCACCTCAGGAGATTCTGCAAACCTTGCTTGCTAGAGCTTCGTCTCATGATAGCACTTGACATTGTTCTTTCTTCCCCGAGATGAATTCTGGCAAGTTTTGTATCCAGTGAATCAGTTTCAGAAACACTCCCGCTCTTTCCTGTGCTGCTGAGCTTTTGAGGAGAGATCCACGCGGCACTCAGGCTGCTCTCACAAACACACACTGTCTCCTCCTCCTCTCCTCTCCTCCCTCTGGGTGTGTGTGTGAGTGTTTTTTTTTTCTCTTTGCTGCATGTGGTTCTCATTGAAAGAGCTCAGAGCATAACCTAACATCATTTCCCCCTCCTTTTCCCTCTTTTCCAGGGTCATGTGGCCGTCCCTGGGGAAAATGTAAGCTGATACCCCTCACCCCATGCTATGAATCCAGACCCCCTAAAGACGTAGAAAACCCAGAGCCTTTCTTTTATTCTGTTTACATGAGTGCAGAAGCTTTCTGATGTGCTTACAAATAAACTTTGGTTTTTAGTTTCCATCTCAAATAAATGTTAGTCTCTTTAACTTTTGATTATATTAAAAACAAAACCTCAAATAAGAATGTATCACAGTTTCCACATAATAACAGCACAATTGTTTAAACATTGATAATAAGAAGTACTTAAGCACACGATTTCAGAAAGATGAAGGATGGATTCAACAGCTGCAGGAAATTGAGTTGTGTCAAACTTCCAAACACACAAAATGCTGAAAGTTTTTTTATATTTAAGATATATTGTAAATATATTTCTAAAGAAGCCGCTGACATAAAATTGACCAAGATTTTGGTAAAAATCCAAACATACAAACAAACAAAAAATAAAAAAACTTTGAAAAAATTTGGTATGTGTAATAACAATGGTAAGATCAGCCTGATCTCACGAGAAAACATAAGTATTTTACATTTTGTCAGTTGAATGCTTAATACGTATAAATTCGTACAGTTCAGTCAAACGAAAATGTACGATTTTAAAAAGAGACGTGGCACACAACCCCACCCCTAACCCTAACCGTCATTGGATGATGAGCTAATCGTGATGGTGTCACGATCCTCCAAATCCTCGATTCGATTACATTTTCGATTCTAAAGGCACGATTCGATTCGATTTTCGATTATGAATAATTAATTAATTAATGACCAATTAATTATTTGTAGCCTACCGTTTAAACTACCTGACCTGCATGGTCTTTGTTTTACCCATAAACAAATCATACAGTAAATGAATAAAGGCAAGACACACACATAATGACCACCTGTTAATCACTTTTTTCTGCGGGACTCGTGAATAGGCAGTGATCTGTGTCGTTATAATGGCGGTAAAAAAAGACGCACAACCAACAGGAACCAGCCAACAGTATCTGAGGTGTGCGCTAAAATGACTAAGTACAAGTGAGTTAAAGATTGAAGCTGTCCTCTGACTGCCTGGACCTGCTGTCTCGAGCGCATGGCTGTGTATGCGTCTGTGTGGTCACGTGATGTGCATTTTCAGAGGTAGTGAGGAAGAAGAGCTGCTCAGAAATGCTACACGCCACTTTGAATGTCAAATTGTTGTCGTTCTAAAATGCCATATAAAAACAAAGACAGTGTAAACCGGGCCAGAGTGTGTACTTTTCTATCGAACGAACAGTACGTAATACGTACATAGCAGAGCTTGCAAAACAGGGTTTTTTTTTTTTTGTCGACAACACGAACGTTGTCAACATAACTCACTGGAAATCCAAAATGCTTACACACCGGCGACTTCATTGAAAGAGGAGAGGGTTTAAGTTCTGTCGACGGGTCTCCTGCTTCTGCAGTTTAACAAGCACTTCAACAAGCCTGTTTTTTTCCCACTTGGCTAGCCAAGCTGACGTGAAATGGGGGCGTGGCAGCATCGACGATTCTATTTTTTGATTCGATAATCGAAATTGAGCATAAATTTCGATTGATTTCGATTAAAAATCGAAATCGTGACACCCTTTGCTAATCGTACTAAAATGTACAAATTAGAACGTATGAGTTTATACGTATAAGCCACTAAATCAAAAAGTTACAAATTGCCATTAGATTGCGTTTTAAAGACTAAAGGAGAACATACTGAACTACTGAAAATTACTTTTTTTTTATGAAAGGCAGTTTTGTAATCACAGCTTAAGATGCCTCTTGTATGGACAATGGAGTTACATGCATTGCTTCTAATCTTGTGGCTCTGTCAGTTTCAACCCAGGACTATTCTGAAAACGTACCTCTATATACATTTCTGGAGACCGCCAAATACACCCCAGGAGCTACGTCTTTTTTGCAGTTTTTGTTTTCGCTTATCCACCAGAAGCCGCTGTGTGCGCTTTTTGAGATGTCAAATTTCTTTTACGAGTGCCATTCGCACCTGCTGTTCTTGAGTAAATCCACCAGAGGCTGCTGTCAGCTGACTGTTTGACTGAATAACTGACTGACCAATCGAATGACCCACCCTCCTCCTTCCCTAAACACAACCAATTGTATTGATTGACCCGCCCACCCATTTCTCTAAGCCTAACCAACAATTTAAAAAGCAATTCAGAAAAAGAAAAGCACTCATCAGATTTTTTTTACCACATTTTCAGATTTTACCACATTCTCACCCTGTTATTTGCTTTTTAAAATATATTTTGGCATTTGTTTTTGTCTTACCTGCTTTCTGGAACCGTTCTTCACCAGACTCAAACCCCGTCGTCGTGGTCAACTCCGCTCTGTGTCTTAAGTCCAACGGTGCACATGGCGAGCTAACGGGACAAACTGGTTACAGAGGGAAAACCATCAATGAGGAGGTACTGTAAGTGGTCAGCTGGTAAGCGTGAAAAGGAACAGCTTTATAACATTCATTTTAAAAATGAAATGCAGCCATAAATAGCTCTGGCTACATAATTTGCAATCTCCAGAAACGTATATAGGGCTATGTTTTCAGAATGTGTCTATGTTGGTCAGTTTCATTTATGAATTCTCATCTTTAGTTCTTATTTTCTATTGGCCATTCTAGCAGATTTATTTTGGTTTCCTAAAACTTTCTAACTAGTGAGAAATTACAGCTGCAGTCTGGGCTTTCCATACCTTTTTACACCTCCCTTTCTTCATGTGTTCTGTTTCATGCTATTACATAATTTCTTTGACAGACATTTGCTTTTGGATCTGTCTAACATACAGTAGGGTTGTTCTGAAAATGTAGCCCTATATACATTTCTGGAAAGTGCAAATTATTTAGCCAGAACTATGTATGGCTGCCCTTCATCTTTAAAATGAATGCTACGGGGTGGTATGATGCAGTTCCGTTTCATGCTTACCAGCTGACCGCTTACCTCCATATAGACGGCTTTCCGGCTCTTACCAGTTTGTCCAGTTGCTCACCATGTTCATTGGTGAACTGGAGATGCAGAGAGGGGTTGACCACAACACTGGGGTTTGAGTCTGGCGAAGAACAGTTCCAGAAAGCAGGTAAGACAACAACAGAAGCCAAAAAATAAAATAAACAAGCAAATAACAGGGTGAGAATGTGTTTTTTCTCGATTGCTTTTTAAAACTATTGGTTGGGTTTAGGGATACAGGTGGTCGGGTCGGTGCTTTTGAATACACTATTGGTTCGGTATATTGAAGGAGGAGGGTGGGTTAGTTGATCGGTCAGTCAGCCAGTCAGTCAGTCAGTCGGTCAAATGGGATGTATTCGGTGCTCCCCAGAAAAGTATATATCGGTACGTTTTTAGAATGAGCCTGGGATGCATCTATCGCTCATGAAAGTCTGGGTGCTTCCTTTGGTGTTTGAGACTGAGATCTCAATGTCCTTTTGTCCTGAAACAAACTGAATTGTACAGTTGACTCATCAAACCCCCAGGACACATATCCACTGTCTTTTTTTGAAAATTTGCAAGCAGCAAATAGGAAATATTTTAATATTCATTAAAATTTCACATGAAGGCTAATCATTTTGCCTTCTACTGTGCCTCCATTTTGGCTCCTTTCTGAGATATGGAATAGTTGGCTATCTGTGTTTATGATCCCGTTCTTTATTTTTTCAACACACATGGTGAAAACCAGTTGAGTGAGTTTAAGGCTGATCACTTACCTGATGGTTACAACAGAGCAAATGCTGATACTGCCTTTATCTGCAGCTAATAACCTTAAAAAAAAAAAACCTGTTTTGCACATGTTCAAACTAAATCTTAATTCCAATTTCAAGCGAAACATGACATCTCCACAATGGTTGAGTTCTTGTTTTAGCATTGACCATAACAACAGCAATAATCTGATATTATGGGGTTAGTTCCCCCAAAAAATTCTGTCAATATTTACTCACCCTCATGTTGTTCCAATCCCCTGAGACCTTCGTTCATCCTCTGAACACAAATTAAGGTATTTGAGATGAAATCCGAGTGCTCCCCCATCCTGCATAAACAGCAACAGTTGTCAGAGTGCTACGGGCCGAGAATGTGAGTAATTAATAAAAGAATTCTAATCTTTTTGTGAACTAATCTACTTTAATCAGCTATCTGACATGTTATTTAGCTAATTGAATGAGCTAAAGTTATCACTCTACCATCTGTGGGATGTCACTAAGGTCACATGGTTCAGACAGTTGGCATCTGAAATTGCCTACTACTCGAGTAGGTATTTGAATGTACTACATGATCATTAGAAAAGCATGTTCTATATAGTATGAATGTGAGTAGTGTGAATGGAATTTGGATGTACTACATCCATCCTTTGTCATTATCACATGACCTACCTGCGTCGGTTGCTTTACTCCCATTCATGAATTCTCTCATGTGGCATCCTGGGATAGTGTAGCGTCCATTGGAGGTGCACTTCGGAATCTCAGCAACAGTTCTGGTTTAACCCCCCAGAACCATAAGCTAGGCAAATACAGGAGATAGGAATAAGACTGGGTTGTATTATACATATTGTCAGTTCAATTAAATTCAATTCACCTTTATTTCTAAAGCGCTTTTACAATGTAGATTGTGTCAAAGCAGCTTCAGATAGACGATCATAGTAAATTGAAACAGTATCAGTCCAGTTTCCAGAGTTTAAGTTCAGTTCAGTGTTGTTTAATATTCACTGCTGAGAGCCCGAACACTGAAGAGCAAATCCATTGATGCGCAGCTCTACAGATCCCGAACCATGCCAGTGGCGACAGCGGCGAGGAAAAAACTTTACCAATTGGGGAAAGTGAAGAATTAAAAAA